GGCTCAGGGCAGGATCCACACCTGGATCCAGAGGGAGAGGAAGGTTTTAGGAAATGAGGCCTGTGGAAAAGTTTAGAATTTTATAACTTGGTGAAAAAAAGGCATAAGATTTTATAACTTGGTCTAATCTGGAAGGGTCTTGCTGAAAAAAATGTAAGATTTTACAACTTGGTCTAATCTGGAAGGATCTCGTGGGCATGTTGCCAAACTTCAGCTTCCAGAAATACCAATCTGTGCTGAAGACAAGGATCCTGGGAATGGCTGGGGATCCTGGGAATGTCTGGGGATCCTGGGAATGGTTGAGGATCCTGGGAATGGCTGGGGATCCTGGGAATGGCTGGGGATCCTGGGAATGACTGGGGATCCTGGGAATGGCTGGGGATCCTGGGAATGGTTGGGCAGTTTGGGCTGGAAGTTTTCAAATAATTCAGCGTGGGACAGACGTGTAACAGAGAGACTTTCCAAGGCAAACAGCTCAGGTTTGGCAAAGTTAAACAGCACAGCAGAAGGCAGCTGGACATGGTACCCTGGAGTGGTGCCAGCTCTGGGTATGAACCAATCCCACCAGTGTCCCTGTTCCCCAGTGTCCCCATGTCCCCATCCCTTATGGCTTTACCATAAGTGTCAGGTGTCTCCCATCACCTTGGGAAGAAAATGAAAATGTCCCCCTCATGCCACTCCTGAAGGCAGTGTCACCTCAGGGGCAGGGCCTTCTCCTCCAGAGGAAATTGGAGCCACTTCCAGGTTGAGTTCCCAAAGCACCCAAGCCAGAGGCACCTCCTGCCCCCAGCTCAGTGCAAGGGGGGGAACAAGCAAACAACCCCAAATTATCAAGTGCAATAGGGGCTGTTTGTGCCTTTGTCTGAGGGAAAGAAGCAACAACTCCTGGACAAAAAGATTGGGGGATTTTAGGGTGGAAAAGGGCTCTTTTTCATCCAGCAGGTAACCCTGGAAATGGATTCTCAGGAAATTCAGATTTCAGATAAAGGGGTTCTTCAAATGGAGCCAAAGCACAGCAAACCCAGGTGGGCTCTTCCCTCCACCCTCTGGTGCTCAAATCCTTGGAGAGGAGCCCCCAGAGGACCTTGGGGATAAAAGCTGTGCTGTCAAAATACCCTCGTGGGGTCTGTCTGGGCTTCTCACAACTCCTGAGAGCCCCAAAAGTTCAGTCCTTCCTGCTCTCCCTCCCAGAACAGGCTCACAGATGCTCTGGGTGACGGGGGAGAGGCAGTGACCCCTGCATTTGTGCCTCTTTAAATGCACAATTTAGGGTCTTGTCAGGGGGAAAAAAATTAACAATCCCATATAATTGCCTGCTGGAGGACTCCATGACCCTCCAGAGGGGAAGGTCACATGGAGGTGACATGAAGAACCCATTTCTGGTATTTCTGGAGTTTTAAGAACCTTGACTTGAAACTGGTTAAAGTTATCATCGTTTTGTGAAGCTTTACACAGGCACAGAGACCAACATGATATATAAAAATATATATTTCTCTCTCTATAAAAATGCATATTTTTATATTATATTATATATACTGTATACAATATACATATATATAATATACATATATATAATATAACATATAACAATCTAATACTATAATAGAATAGAATATATAGAATTATATAAAATATGTATATATTATGTATATAAAATATTTATATATTATATATTATTTTATATTATATACTACATATACTATATAAAAAAGTATAATAATATATACTATACTATAATATATACTATAATATAAAATAATATATAATATATAATATATAAATATATATATTTATATATATATTTATATAATTTATATATATAAGTATATATCAAATACATGCAACCAGACACCCACACACAGCACAAACACATCACAATTTACACCTGATTTTGTGTGTTTGCAGGAGATTCAATGTAATTTTACCAGGTCCATGTAAACATCCTCAACACAAGCACATGGATCCCAAACATCCCAGATTTGAGGGGCTTGGCTGCACAGCTCTGGATCCCACATTTCACAGCATCAGGCCTCCAGCAGGATAATTTCCTGAAAGACTATTTTCACCCACCCTCCAGCAAGAAATCCCCATCTGCAGGAGCCAAGTGGTTCGTTTTCAGACGAGCTCCTTAATTAAGCAGATCCTAATTGGACGACTCTAAGCTTTAATTAACGGCAAATTGTTCGTGCGCTTTCATTTCTGGGTCCCGTTCCCGGGCGGGATGTTCCTGGGGTGGTTTGGGGAAGTTTTGTGTTTCGCAGGGCAGGGTTGCAATTTTTATTTATGGCACTTCAGGAGGGAAAAGCAGCTCCCGGGAGCCCCAGAGCCAACGGATTGAGGAGTTTTCCCACTTTGTCCTCCTCGAACACAGCACCTCTGAGTGGGGGGGGGTGAACTCAGCAAAGCCCTGCAGACCCTCATGTTGTGCCCCAGAGGCAGCCCCAGAACATCCCAAATCCAGCAAAGATCTGCCAGTGCCACCTTTCCCTCCCCATCACGGACCCACAGCACTGCAGGGGCCTCACTCGGGAACTGTTGCAGCTCCCAGAATAAAAAGAACAAGAGGAGACCACAAAGATGCTCCAAGGGCTGGAGCCCCTCTGCTCTGGAGCCAGGCTGGGAGAGCTGGCAGGGTTCACCTGGCGAAGGGAAGGCTCCAGGGAGACCTGAGAGCCCCTTCCAGTGCCTGAAGGGGCTCCAGGAGAGCTGGAGAGGGACCTGGGACAAGGGATGGAGGGACAGGACAAGGGGGAAGGGCTTCCCACTGCCAAAAGGCAGGGTTAGATGGGATATTGGGAAGGAATTGTTGGCTGGGAGGGTGGGGAGGCCCTGGCCCAGGTTGCCCAGAGAAGCTGTGGCTGCCCCATCCCTGGAAGTGTCCAAGGCCAGGTTGGACAGGGCTTGGAGCAACCTGGGCTAGTGGAAGGTGTCCCTGCCCATGGCAGGGGGTGGGATGAGAGGAGCTTTAAGGTCCCTTCCAACCCAAACCATTCTGGGATTCTATGAAATCACACAAAAGAGGTGCAAGTTCAAGAATTGCTCCCCTGAAAATCAACCCCTCCACCATCTCCAGGCCGACCTGCTGCTCCAGGTAATGTGGATTAGAGCTCAAGGGATGGATTTGAGCTCAGAGAGCTCACCCTCACTGTTTGCTCAGAGAGCATAGCTGTGCTCCAGGGGAACAGTGCTCCCAGGGGACTGGACACCAGGCATCCCCATTCCCAGCACACTGGAGTCTCTTCCCACCCATTTCTGGCACCCTGAGCCCTCCTGAGCCCCTCAGGGAACATCCTTTTGGTGATGGCTACAAACACAACAAATGGCCTCAGCCCAGTTTCTCTCCCAGATGGATTAAACTCCTTCTTTTACAGCCCAAAGCCCCAGCTGGGGCTCAGGTACCCAGATGTTGACCTCTCCCAAGTACCATCCATGCAAACCACCCTTCCACCTGGACTCCAGGGAGGGGATGGTGCCACCTCCATGGCAGGGATGCTGCAGGGATACCAAGTGCTGGCTGCCCCAACCCAAGCAGGAGGCATCAAGAAATATCCATATCCTGACTGAGCTGGAGTGAGGAAAGACAGGGATCCTTATTTCCTAATGAATCCACCTAAGAAATGGATCCTAATTTCCTCCCAACCCGAAAGTGTCACAACTGCCACATGCCGTGTCCTCTTTGCGTGGAGCAAAGGGAATGTGGAACCTCAGCAAGGTCTCACCAGCTTTGAACACCAAGTCCCAGCTCCAGTGAGGAGCTGCTCTGCTCTGGCACTCCCTCCACACCTCAGTATTCCCCACTGGACTTGGGATCAGTGCACAAAGCCCCCAGCCAGCCCCGGGAATGCCACAGGTCCCTGCTCTGGCTCAGGGAGCCAATCCCAGCTCCGAGGTCAGGAAGGCCAGCCAAGCTCTGCAGTGGCTGCCCCTCACTCCCCATCCTGCTCCTTGAGGATATTTCTTGTGTCTGTGCTACACAAGCTTTCCTTGGAGCAGAACTGCTCCATCAGTAGGGACTGGCTGGAAAGCAGGAGCCTCAGCACCAAAGAAGTGTCTTGTTTGAGGCCAAAGCCTGAGAAACTTGAACTTTTGGAGGGCTCTGCCCCACGCACCAGTTGGAACTATGATAAAACCTGAAAACATTCCTGAGCTCAGGATCTTCCCCAGCCTGGGTAGCAGTGATCAAAGGGTAAATCCACACCCCTGGATGATGTTCAGTCAAATGAGAGGGTGGGGAGGCCCCGGCACAGGTTGCCCAGAGAAGCTGTGGCTGCCCCATCCCTGGAAGGGTCCAAGGCCAGGTTGGATGGGGCTTGGAGCAACCTGGGCTGGTGGAAGGTGTCCCTGCCCATGGCAGGGGGTGGAACTGGATGAGCTTTAAGATCCCTTCCAACTCAAACCATTCCATGATTCCATGATTTTAGGCATCCAAGAAGCCACACACACAAATCCCAGCAATCCCGGCACCCGCAGGGAGAGGGACCCAGCCCCGCTCCAGGGATGGCTGTGCCAACGGGACCCTTGTGCCACAGTGACACCCCCAAAGACAGCCCTACCCTGCCTGCCCCCCCAGCACCCCCCAGCAGCCCCTCGCACTGGGGGAAGCCTTTCTGCCCCCAGGGCAGATGTGGGGTGGAGAAACTCCCTTTTGGGGTGCCCGTCTGCAAACACCTCCCACCGCGACGGTGGCGAGGCTGGGGAGGACGCTGTCACGGTGTGAGGGCTGGGCAGGACCTGGGCTGGGTCACGTTTACCCCATGGAATCCCAAGAAAGCCGGGAATCCCAGAGCACGGCCGGGATGCACCCCCAGCGCCCCCATCCCCGGGAACCGCATCCCTGCAGAGCCGCGGCCACCGCCGAGGGGTCCCGGCCGCTCAACCCCCTCTCCCCGCTCCCGGTGCCCGGGCTCCCGGTGCATCCCAGCGGGGATAGGATATCCCCCCGGCCCGGGATGCCCCCGCAGCTCCCCGGCCCCCCCATCCCGTCCCGCCGCCGTTCGTACCTGTGTCCAGCCCGGAGCCCGTCTCGGGGGGCTCCAGCCCCGCCGGGCACAGGGGCAGGGCACAGAGCAGCGCCAGCACCAGCGCCCCGCCGAGCATCGTGCCCGGCCCCGGCCCCGCCGCATCCCCGCCCGGCCCCGCCGCCGCCGCCGGGGCAGGACGGCCCCGGCCCCCGCCC